AAAAAAAAAAAGACAACAATTCCGTGACTGTTCGCTTTGCGTCATACGCAGAGCAACACACGCGTATTCAATTAGTGTACACACCAGTGACAACAACCAAGAAAATATATTTTCGCATTTTCACTCAATAACGTGACACGAGTTCGTACAAGGGTGAACTGTCGTGAACGCGTGTGATCGGGTGTGATACGTGAATTATCAAGTGACTCATTGTTTTCAATGTGTACCTCGTGTGTTGATCAGGAAGAACAATCGAATCCTCGAATTTGATATCGCTGCACGTCACTGATACAGTGATAAGTTTTCAGCGACAAGTGTCGATAGACTGTACAAGCAAAACCGGTAAACCATACTGTATACATTTTTTTCCATCGGTTGCGTAGAACCTCGTGTTATGTAATCGCCATTTACACGTACGAGATCAAATACATTATCACGAGGAAATAGAAAAAAAAAAAATTAAAGACAGACGTGGGAGTATTTCCGGACATTTTTGTTATTTCTGTGCGGGAATAATAAAAGTGTAGAGAGGAAAAAAAAACACTGTTGAGTTAATTGTGACTGCAGTGCCTCGACTGCCCACACATTACCGTATATTTCGCAATAAAGAGCGAGACAGAGAGATATAAAGAGAAAGAGGGATAAGAGAGACAGTGTAATTCGAACGGTGTGGAGGAAAGTTGGAATATTTAGTTCCGTGTGTATAAAAACCGGAAATCCGTTAAAGTGGACCTGATGGTGCGCAGTTTAACTATGGAGACGACGTTTTACGAAGAGGTGACAGCGTATGGTAATCGCGACAACGTGGGCCAGTTGAAGAGAAATTTAACCCTGGATCTGAACGGACATCGTCAGGGCCCACAGGCCAAAAGGCCGAGACTCGGGCCCCTACCACTGACCCTCAACAATTCAGCTCCAGTTTTGAGCTCACCAGATTTAAATATGTTGAAATTGGGTTCACCTGAATTGGAGAAACTGATAATTGCCCAGCAGGATGGCCTAGTGACGACAGTACCAACGTCCAATCAAATTCTCTTCCCCAAGATTGTGACAGAGGCCCAGGAGTTGTACGCACGTGGGTTTGTTGATGCCCTCAATGAATTGCATCACTCTGACAGCTCGCAGGAACCTGGAAGCATTCATGGTGCTACATATACAAATTTAGAACCACCAAGCTCGGTTCAGAGTACAGAATCACTATCACAGGGGCTATTGATGATCAAGGATGAGCCACAGACTGTACCAAGTGTATCGAGCTCACCACCAATGTCACCCATCGACATGGAGAATCAGGAGAAAATCAAGCTGGAGAGGAAGAGACAGAGAAATCGTGTGGCTGCGTCAAAATGCAGAAGACGCAAACTCGAGAGAATTTCCAGGCTTGAGGACAAGGTCAAGTTGCTCAAGGGTGAGAATTCAGAGCTCAGTACTGTTGTTCACAGGCTCAAGGAACACGTGTGTCGGTTGAAGGAACAGGTCATGGATCATGTGCACTCGGGATGCCAAATGATGTCGGTGTCTGGACAATTTTGAAGGGGATCATCCCTGGAGAATGGGGAACATTAAAGCTTGAGTACATCGACAGAGGAAGTCAGAATCTCTGGGTTATTATTTTAGTCTTTCGGGGATTTATGATTCTTTTTTATTTAACGATGTTTTCACGTTTATAATATCGCTCTGTACTGCACGGCGAACCCCCCGAGGGAATCTGGGAGTGCCTTTGAGTGCTGTGCAAAGAAATGGATAAAAAAAAATGAAAAAAAAAAAGGGGAATGTTATGATGGTGGATTGTGGAGTCCACGAACGTCCACGATAGCGTCGTTGACGTTGCTTGTCTGGTGGGAGGAGCACCGGAGAGGAGTGAGGCGAAAAAAAAATATTACAAGAGGATCAAGTGGGGAGCTACCGTGGCCATTTTGGAGAACATCGGACAGCGCGGCAATTTTAAATCGTCCAGGAACTTCGTGGAAAGTCGTTCCCTAAATTCAATTGGGAAGGGAGGGTAAATTGAAGGTTTTTAATCATCAATAACTGGTTTCCTTGGAGAGCAACATCAAACGATTTCATGTTTAATCATGGGGGGACTGTCGAAGCTATTGGTGATTGGAAATATTCTGCCTCGTCTTCCTTCAACATTGTCAATTTTTTTTTTATATATATATATATATTTTTTTTTTGTTTCTCGGAGCAACTGTTGCTCTTTGTTCTTGTTTGGATGAATTATTTGGTTGAATCGGAGTTTTCGTCGTTGTACGATTTCATTGGGAGCGCCGTTATGTATCATTTGTGCATCTAGTCTTGTCCAGTATGAACATGTATAACTTATTATCCATCCATGCACATTTATTTCGGGAGATGTGAGATGTTACGCAGACACTGGGAATAATTTACCTGCTAATAAGCGCTCGTGCGCACCGACCATAATTTTTGTACCATGAATAGTTTTTTTCTTTTCTTTGGGCGAGCTGGGGATGTATTTCGTGATGGACAATGGGAGTGTTCGTTGACCCCGAGGAATTGAACGAAATTCAATGTTTTATAAGAAAATATGTATTATTATTATTACCATTTGATGGATCGGGTCAAAGGTTCTAGCTGTTCATAACGAGGTACCATCTTCGCGCCCACGCTCGTTGCATAGAGAATAATAGTCGTAAAGTAGGTAAGTTTAGGCGTATTTGACCTTCAGTTTTGATTAACGAGTAGCCCGCATTTTTTTTTTCGTGGCAGTCTCACACATGAATGTAACACACACTTGATCTGCGTCCCAAGATTTTTTAGAAGCCTTTCCTCTCTTCATTTCTTTTTTTTTTTAGTTTCATTTCTTTTTTTTTTTTGTTGTATCCTTGAGGAGCCAGACCGAGCAGTATTTCTTTTTGTTCCTCTTTTTCGCTGCCTCCTACTTAGATTTGATGAATTCTAAATTCCGAGGACATCCGGATTCATTTTGCTCTTTTTCGGTTCTCATTACGACAGTGCATTGTAAATTTATTTAATTTATTTGATTCGTTCTGGAGATTCTCGACAATTGCATCAGTGCAATAAAAGTGCGACTCTCTTTGGCACTGTCTGAGAATTAGATGAGAAGTAAAAAAAAATTTTTTTTAATTTCAAAGAAAGGCCTATGGAATTTTAGGCCGTTTGTATCAATTTTCTTTTTTTTATTCTTGTGTTAATTTATCGACATTGCCAATCAAGAAGACGTTGCAATATTTACTGGCGTAAATCGTGCAATTTGAATTAAGGAGTTTCATATGTAGCCGACCTTGGAGGCCCCCTCTGAAAGAATAATTTGCAAAAGTAACCAGCGCGTAGCGTTTTGTTTTCATTAAAATTTGTTTGTTAAAAACAAAGTATAACGACTCAAAGCGATGAACGAGGAGATAATTCCCCGTCGGGTGTAGAATTTCACGAGCTCGACTATATATTTGTTGCCAATGCAATCCAGTCCGTACAGTGTGCCTTTTTTTCATGACGAATGCAAAGCGAATATAATAATTAAAATAACAAAATTTATTTTCCCTCGATGAAATGATATAAAATTCAATCTCAGTGTATTGCTCTAGAGTTGTAAAAAATTTATAAATAACAATGTACAGAGCTTACAGAACAGATGGAAAATAATATGCTCTCGCAGAGAAAAATGTTGCACAAACGAAAAATGTATGAAAGTAAATCTAAAATTAATGAAAACCACTTGTGATTTAGTATGTAAGTAAAAACCCCATTAGACACTAGATTTTATGGTGATTAAAACTGTAATTTTCATGAAAAACTAAAATTATGACACCATAATAGTTGCATAACACTATTCATAATGAGAGTAAATATTACTATATTACGTAATAATGATTAAATATACAAATATATGTTATATATCGAGAAAGCTGAGAAGAACTCTTTTTTTACGAATAATTTTATTTTTGAATGAAACAATGATGAAAATAAAATTCACTATATTACACATAAATAACTCTTTAATTACTTCTCCCAATCTCCCACTTTATTAAATTTTCAGGCTATATATAATCTCGCATTAGCTTAAGCCGCTGCAATACTCAATTCTCGGCATTTCTTTTTTTGTGGTTGAGAGTTTAACGTCGGCCCAAGCCCTCTCCTTAATTATTGCAATTGACTAATTGTCTCAATTGAGAAAAAGTTCTCAGTAAGAAGAAATTGGCCAGCAACGAGAAAGAGGAATTACGCCTGGAAGTAAGTTCAAATAAATTCTTTTTTTACAGGAATTATAACTTACGAGTAGATTATCGACTGCTGGAGGAGGTGAGCATAAATAATAAAGCATCAGTCAACCGAAACACTCATTATTCCAATAATGAATTGTTCAAGAGACATCAGGAAACGAACATTACGAGATAGATTATTCCTATTCAATCTCGTTAACGAGGTCGAGTCAAAGATTACAGCAATGAATGAGGGCTTGGAGCTAATTGCCCCCTGCATAGTCAGATCTATCGACCGATAATTCAACGTCGGAGAGACAATAAAGGCTGGGTGTACTTCTTGGAGCCCTTTGGGCAATCAGCAATGGACATTATTGCACGCATCATTGAAGAAATGGGGGAAATTGTACGGTTCTAATCAGGGATGAGGCGGGATCAGCGGAGTGCACTTCAGGAATCTGTTTCTCCATTTTCAAGATATCTTACAAAAATATCTAAGTAGTTTTTTTTTTCGTCAGTCCAATTTTTCTCTCCTAATGTAAATAATGGAATTTCTATTTATTCAATGGAAATTATAACAGGGACAAATTGATTTGTCGGGACAAATGGAGTTGTTACTTTACAAAAGTCGGTTATTCAAAAGTTTAAACAATAACTATTATTCGTTAATACCAGAAGGAAGTTTTGAGAAAACTATT